GTAGAAAACCTTTTGAATTGTTTAAGTTCCAACTACGTGTAACTGTAGAAATCACCTTTAAAAATACCTTTAAGCTAATTTACTCTGTATCAGCTGTGATATGGAATTCCAGTCTGTCAGATTTCTTTTACAAGTTTTTACTTTGTTTTGAGAAATTCCATACCTGTTCATAATGTTATTAACACCTGTGTAAAATTTTTGCATCACTGGAGTAGTCAGATATAAATTTAAGATAAAATCTTCTCAAGAATTGTATCAGAAATTAGGATATCAGTTTCCCCTTTTTTTATTAAAAATCATTAGAGTGATCCTGGAGATTGAGAAAAACTTTTTCATTTCTACACTGTGATTTGGAGTTGTGTTGTAGTGCTTCTGTCTTGGAAGGGGTTGGAGACCCAAGTAACGGATTTCTAATCCCTTCTACCTTTTTTTACTGACTTTAGGAGGTTATTGGTGTTTTATCCCCTTTTTAATTTTCTTTTGAAAGTCTCTGGCAATCAAGAAAGTCAGTTGGATCTCTAGGAAATTCTTTGGAACGGGGACATTGGGTCATTTCTTCCAGAATATTTCATAGGTTTGCTGTAATTAAGGAGAGGTTTTATTTTAATTCTAACTTCTGTTACAGACATTTCGGGAAGCAGTGGTTTTGATGAGAAAATGAGACAGTTGGATGATGAATACTGCAATTAAAGAGATTGTTTCCTATATGTGATTTACACTTCACAGTTTTTTTACATCTGAATATGTAATGGCTTTGAGATTTACCGCATCACACCCCAAAACAATACTTAAATAATTAAAATGAAGAATAAATTAACCTATATCTTGGTAATCTACTTCATGTACCTCCATTCTGTGGACTGCAGTTTGGCACCGAGATACCTGAAGTAGCTTTGAAATAACTGGCTCCATTAACAACAATAGTCATTGTATATTTGAGCACATTTGAACTCAAACATAGTCTTGATGAAGAAGAAACAATGTTAAGTTGTACTGTAGGTTGATATTTCTTCATGACCTCCTTCTCATCCAAAAAAAACCCTGAATCAAACTAAACATTGGCTGGCAAGATAATAGGCCGCGTTTTCTGACAATAAACTCTGCTAGCTATGTGTGCACGATACCCATGCCAGGTAGTTTTTGTATATGGCTTTAGAAATAAGGGATTTAGGTGTTAAAGGCTGAGAAACAAATGAATGAGTCCTTTCTTCTGTGGCACACACAGAGAATTTCCTGAACAGCTGACTGTTCTGGAGTGACTTTATTGTATGGTACATGCATCGCGGAGAAAAACAAGACATGTGGCGTCATTTGCTGCAAACCCAAAATATATATGCAGGTTTTTTGACATCTGATTCATTACAGATATCTTATAAGATTTTGAAGTTGGGATTATCTGTTGATTGATCAGCCTACTGTGCATTTGGGTTAGGCAATGAATTCAATCCTTACACAGCAGCAACTATTTACTGTTAGATTTCTGATTATTTTTATCATAAAACTTTTTATTCACTACTTTTAATCAACATTTTAGTGATTAAGCTTAAATCAAAATTGAGTGTATGAAATGTATGCTGTGAAATTTTATAGTGTATTTTTGATAAAAAGATACCTGTCTTTTTATGCTTGTATTTAAATTCTGGTTTATGAGACAGTTCCCATGAGACAGTATCACAGACATTTTACAAAGGTACTGAAATAAGAATTACTCAGGTTTTAAAAATCATATTCTTTATCCAGTGTTATAAAGATTAGATTGCTAAAGCTGTTTTTAGAGAACAGCTGATAACTGAATAAATGATGCAAAGATATTTTTATATAAAAATTTACCATGCTAATTAAAACAATGCATCTCATTAGGCTAAATAATGACTTTCTTAGTACGTTTTAAAGATTTCTTATTTCTTTGACACACTAATAAACAACAATTGTCTAGTTTGTTAATGCTAGTTAGAATACTTTTTAATTTTTGATTACAGAAAGGAAAATTGAAAAATTTCAATTGAAACAAAGTTTGTTTTTAATCTTCTAATTATTTGTTTTCAATGAAAACTGCCAAAAATTGTGATTAGCTCAGTTCTAACGCCCCTGTTACTTTATTCCCTTCCATCCCTCTCACGTATGTCATGAACTGATGACTCTGTGGAGTTTCTGTCATTAGACCTGCCATTATGATTGACATGGAAGGGCAGTGACCAAGGAATGCTGATGTTATCACTGTCTTAGAGGACTCCAGAGAAGAAACATAAATGAAGCTGCTTCAAGGAGAGTGCACTATGATGAGGCTCACTTCAGCATAAACAGTAGTAAATAAAACCCCTGGAAGGTACCAGTGGGACAGATTTAAGCTCTAACATGAAAAGAAATAAGGTGATTACCTCATCATGAGCCTTAAGCTATGACCTCTTGCCCTTCATTAATTGTGCCGATTCCTCTCTGAGATAATCTCGCACACATAAACCAATTCTTGGGGAGAGTGGAGATGGCTCTCTAGCTCATATACCAACCTTTTCTGGAGTCAGTAATGACTGTGCAATGAGCGAAATATCCAAGCACCCCAAGCTCCTCATTACTGATGTTGTCTCCTGTGCTGTGCTTCCTGCAAAGACCTTCGCTGCATCCCACGTGCTCAGCCATGAAGATTATTTCTCGGCTGCAGCTAAGGTTGTGGCTTAGAAGTGTGCCTGTCTCTGGCTAGGCAAGCAGGGAGGAGTGAAGACAATATTTTATACTTGGATGAAGGCAGAGAAACAGTTAAAGGTGGAACTTTTTTGAAGACAGTATCCAATCTCAACAGTACCTTGGTGTGTGTATGTTCATCTGTCAGGAGGATTAGCAATGAATTTAACTTTTTCATCAAAAGGCTATTCTTGCAGAAGTCTGGATGGCTCTGTCATGCAGAGCTATCATCAGTCTCTAAAAGAAATTTTTGTTAAAGATAACTACTTCACAAGCTTGAGGAAATGATTCAAGCAGCTACTATTGACTACCTAGCTCTGATCTTCCAAAAAAATCACTATTTCAGTTCAAATAGCTGCATAAAATATTTTGAAACTTGCATGGAGGAAGAAAACCCACAACAACAGTACAATTCCTTTAATCGTGACTGCTGTTTTCAGAGTTCAAAATGTAGAGGGATGCTTTACAAGACTATATATTGTGGAATTTGTTTTAAAATGTTATAGTCTCGTGATTCCGTTGTAGAATGATGAAGCAATTGTACCACAATTTCTAAGAAAAAAATAGGTATGTGGAAGAAGTGTGTTAATCTTTGTTTTTTACAATGGGTACAATAGGAAGAACTATTTATGACGGTGTGACAAGGAAAGGGAAGAGGAAAAGATTTGTACAAACTATCATATAAAACTTTCTTATTTAAGAGTAGAATATTTTCTTATGAAGATTAAAGAATTTTATGGCTTATGACATTGAAATATAGGCCCAGTAGGGTGAATAGAAAATTCCTACTGTTTCCTAAAGTCAGTGGGTTTTGTATCCATATGTGGGTTAAAAGCTTTATTCTGTCATTATTATACCGTTAGAGTAATTCTGTCAAAATAAATGTTGCATTTTGGGAGTTAAAATGTACCCTGTGCATTTCTTATTTGCTGATAATATTAATAATAACAGACAAAATGGAATTCAATGCATTAGAGACTTCTGAATAAGAGAACTAAGAACAGATATTCTAGGATTAAACTGGGTGATATTAAAGTCTTTACATAATCATGGTCTTGCATAACCAAGGAGATATTTGTTTTTAATGAGTAATATGATTAATAAGGTGAAAACTCAATGTCAAAATCAATAGAAAAATACATTCTAGCACATGGAATTTGTCTGTTATATTTCTGTTTTCTTTGGCTGTGTTAAGGAGTTTTTTACCTTTAATTTGTGCCAAAAATTTGTAGACATGATCTCCAGTGTCTGCATGGGAATTTGCATTTGGAAATACTGAATTACTGTCATTTAGATAACACAGTCTCACTCTAAGAAACTTAGTTTGAACTTACGATGAAATAATTGAGCTTCTATCAAGAAATGTGTTTCCTTCCTGGAAATATTCAGTTTCCGAACCTGAGCATTGGTATCAGAGAGTCAGATATCTGGAAACTACTACTGCAACTATCAGGAGATTTTAAAAGTCAAGCAACAGTATGGATACTTTATACAAGAAGGACCACTTTGAGCAAACCCCAGCTTACTGCAGTAAAAACTATGTATACAGAGTATGGTGTAATTTCTTTCAAGAAGAGTAGGTTTTAGTATGCTTGTGAAAGAAAGAAACTTGCGTTTGCCTTTCAGCTGCAAGCCTATTCTTCCATGTCCCTTAAAGAATAAAAAGTAACCATAAACAATTGTGATAAACAATAATTTATAATCTTTTTCTTTAATTTGTCCTAAGCATGCCTCTTACCAATGTGAATGCTTCCTTTTTTGCCAGCCTAGCCATAAAACCCATGAATGACAACCTTACTCTAGTTTTCATATTTTGTGTTTGCACTGTGTATTATTTCAACAAAAGCTGATTATAGAAAAGGGAGAGAAAAGCTCTTTCATTTCAAATAAACTATTGGTTTAGATGAAATAAAGCCTTATGTTGAAAGTGTGTTGGATAATACCCTTTTGGCTAAGAAAAGTGCCTATTACTAAATAGAAATCTCACAAGACAGAAAATGCACTTAATTTAGCTTGGAAAGTTGAACTAAGCCTTTCAGTTTCATATTTGTCTTTTAGTCACTGCAGCATGGCTGCACATGCTTTTAAAGAGAATGCTGTGCAGGGATTAAAACTTTTTTTTCTCTTGGTGAAAACTTCTTTTTTTCCTTACGTAACACAAATGGGGCATACAATTGTCAAGTCCCGCTTTTTTCTTCAGTTGTCTGCCCTGGTAACAGAAGCTTTAAAAATGGACAATCCTCTTTTTTTTCTTTTTTAAATAAGAGATACCAACCAAGTATTTTGAAGAAGATGTCCCTTTCTTTTCTTTCAAATTTCAGACGTGGGACACAGAACTGGAGAGATCTGCAGAGTCGTGGGCTGAAACCTGTCTATGGGAGCATGGGCCTGCAAGCCTTCTTCCATCAATTGGGCAGAATTTGGGGGCACACTGGGGAAGGTAGTTTAAGATACTGTTTTATACTGTATGTTTGTTTTATTAAGTCTAACAAAATTTGTTTAAAGTAGAATGATAGAAGCCACAACTTTTGAATGATCTAATAGACTGCTACTGGCTTTCATAGGTACAGACCTCCAACATTTCATGTCCAAGCATGGTATGATGAAGTGAGAGATTTCACATATCCCTATCCTCATGAATGCAACCCATATTGTCCTTACAAATGCTCTGGTCCTGTTTGTACACATTACACACAGGTATGTAGGTGGGTTTGTTTTTTGTTGGCTGTGGAAAAGAGTGGTCAAGATCTCCAGTTACTTTGTTGTATGACATGTAGAATTTATTAATCTTGCAGTATATACCATAGCCCTAAAGCACAAAAGGGGCTTGTTGTTATTAGACTCCATAGTTACAAGCATAGGGTATTGGTGACATAGAGTAGGGCTGTCATACAAATCACTTCCTTAACAGGATTAAGGAAAAAGCTCACAAAACCCAGTACTGAGTGTTACTGCTCAGTGCACTTTGTGTAATGCAGTCTCTGTGCTGGTATGCTGGTAGTCCTTTCTGTAATATGCTGAAGAAAAAGCACATTTAAAAAAAAAAAGTTTTTCTTAGGTGAATTCCTCAGATCAAACAACAGTTTTTAACATGTTGCTTTAACTTCAGCAAGATTTTGAAATTGCATAAGAACTAGTTTATTTGGTACTTCTGAAATCTGTATATTTAGCCTGAATTTTTCCAGCAGGGAACATATTTCAGTGAATGGGAAATACTTGATCCTCAGATTATACTAAAATCCACATATAATATTCAATATAATATTAGAAAACTTAAAAATTATTACTTTTTAAACATTTCTTTTGCTTGTTTACTAGCACAATTTTAAGACAGAATTACCTCCATATTCTTATTTACTATTTCTGTAAAAATACCTGTAATGACACTTATCCATTACATGCGAGATCTACAATACCTATATTTAGTTCTTTGTGGTACTAATTCTTCACAGTACCTATTTCTTTCAACTCTAAAATCCTTTTGAACTACACAGTTGGCTTATCTTGAATTAATACAAGTTTAGCACCTGTCATATTTGTCTAATTTGAACGTTCCAGCCTTTGTCATTCATATTAGTTTGAGATCTGCAATGAAAATGGTTTCAACAGATGAATAAAGGAGCACAGCCACTTTAGATTGCAATGACGTGAAAGCATATTCATTTAAAATCCATGACTTGAGTCTTTTCGGTGTATGAGTTTTTTTATGAATAGTTTTATTGTTTATGTTACCTTCTTTAGTTGCTGACAAATATGTATTCTCTCAGTCTAACCAATCTAAACCCCTCTGGGTCCTTAGGTTGTGCTGAGAACTCCAGGGCACAGGAACCTAACTTCTAACTCATGATTATCTATTAATTGTAATTCCAAGATTCAGTTCTTCAGATCATGTTTTGTAAATATTTTGCTACACTTACAAATACATGTGTAGACCATTTATATAAAATGAAAGCCACATCTTTTGTATCAAGCTAGAGCTTTTCTTTCTAATAAGGATATAACCGAATGGCCTTTTGACAGTTGTAATTAGGTCACTTCAACCCATTTATAACAGAGGGGAATATAACATTACTTTTGTGATTTGAGTTTTATACATTGAAGTTCAGAGACAGTTTTGATTTTATGTTAATCAACTTTGGTTTTCACATGCCTTTCTCTTTCCTTTTCCATAGGTTGTTTGGGCTACAAGTAGCAGAATCGGTTGTGCAATTAATTTGTGTCATAATATGAACATCTGGGGACAGATTTGGCCAAAAGCAGTCTATCTTGTATGCAATTATTCTCCTAAGTAAGTAGGCTGAAATCCAATAATATCTTGAGTGTGCAAGATACTTTATAATAATCCAGGCAATAATCTGAAAGGAAATCAGTCTGGGTTTTCTATTTTTTGTACTATTACAAAGTAGAGTATTGTTCCCAAGGCAGTCTTAGGTTTGCACAAATACTCTTGTGATTTTCTAGAGCTTCAGTTTTCTGGTCTGTGTTTTAGCATACAACATCAGAGATCTTTGTTGTAGTGTGATATTTGTCTGAAAAATTAGTGTATCTCCCCATTGTGACTTTAAGGAATGTGTAACATGAAGCCAATGGTTAAGATCAAATTCTATAGAATATTCCATTTAGGAGTGTGGAGCCTGTTCTCATGTAATTGAGGAATTTAGTCTAGTGGTGCTATGCCAATCTAAAAAGATCTTACAGCAGCTTATGGCAGTACTTCAGTTTTTTCTTCATGAACTTTTCAATTACTTCCTGTGCATTGGGTATATCAAAACAATGTTATAGTCTAAGTGTTTGCTGTTTTTCATCATTTATTTGTCCATATATTAAATGCTGTTTAATGTTAAAATGTTCATTCATTAAGGCATGTTTTACTAGGGTGTTTTTTTTTTTTGTTTGTTTAAAGGGGTAACTGGTGGGGTCATGCTCCTTATAAACCTGGCCGCCCTTGTTCCGCATGTCCCCCTAGTTTTGGAGGAGGTTGCAGAGAAAATCTTTGTTATAGAGGTGTGTACTATTTCAACAGTATAAGTGGACAGAGAAATGTAACTTTTCTTTTGCTTTCTTTCCTCATTATGCTTTAACATAGTGGAATAGAATATATTATGCATGTGCCCAAAGACCTGGTAGGGGCCTACTGTACTATGGTGAATGAGGTCACGTACTTATGATACATGAGGCCGAGCCTCACCAGAGGGAGTGGAGTGTACTGAACTCCTGATTAAGTGCTGATTGAGGGCTTTTAGTACATAAAGATGTAGACTGTCGCTGTGTGCTATTTGTATGCCTTCTTGTAATTATAGTGGAAGTCTATGCAGTGATTTGTTTATAGGGAAACATGTTCTCTCAGTGACATAGCCATGTGCATTGCCATAAGAAAAATCAAGAACAAAATGAAGACGTTAGTAATTAAACAAAATGTCAGCTAGGGTGATTATTAACTTCTTAGAATTTTCATAATCCTGTTCATATTTTATAGCATTGAAACACAGCCTATTATGCAGCTGCTATTTCTTTTTGGTTTACTCTGTGTACAAGTAATTGTTTTTGTTAGTAACTTTTGAAAGTTATTCATCTATTCATATTGACCATAAATGTTTCACCAGTGTGCCCAAATACCTTCCTTATGGTTCTTGCTTAAATAAGAAATATATATTCAGTGATGAGTATTTCAAAATTATTTTCATTATGTGTGAATAGAAGGGCCTCATTTTCAGGTGTATGTTTTTATGAAATTGTCGTCTTTAATTACAAGTTATCTATGAACTTGCTAAAACCTCTCCCATGTGCAAGAGAAATATTACCTTTGTTCTATTGGTTTTTGGATGGCATAAACAAGATACTAAAACAGGAGTGTTAAGAGCACTTTAAAACCTCAGTTGTGCTGCCTGCCTGTGCTAGAAAAATTCTACCTTTTGTCAGCATCAGAAAGATACTTGAGATGTATTATTAAGCTTGAGGTCTTCAGCTTATGAAACAGTGGAAAGTTTTCCTTGCTTTCTTGCTTGTATTCATCCACCATTTTGTGAGAACAAAGCCAGGTTACCAAAACATGGTAAGGGATTTACATTCCACAAACACTGAACTTTTTTGCCTGAGAGATTATTTTTTGCCCGTTTTCTGAAACAGAGGACTCAGAAAGGCCTTATTCTCCCCATGAACCAGAAGAGGAAACCAATGAAATTGAACGGCAGCGATCCAAAGCCCAAGATGCAGCAGCGCAAAGCCGGCCAAGAACTCATTCACCTTCAGGCTCCACAGGCAGTGATGACAGTGAGAAAAATGAAGTAATAAGCACACAGCAAATGTGTAAGGAATTTACCTGATTTGCAAGTGGTCAACAAATTTTAGTTCTGTAGTATCAAATTCATTGCAGTGAAATTGCTTTTTGCTTGTTTTAGCTCAGATTGTTTCATGTGAAGTAAGGCTAAGAGATCAGTGCAAAGGAACAACTTGCAATAGGTATGGTAAATTTTACAGTTGTCATTCTGAGATTATTATAAAAAGCTATATTTGTATGTGAGCTGGAACATTTTCCCTTTTTGTAATCCCAGGATTTAAGACCAAGTTGTATTTTATTTCCTTAGATATGAATGTCCTGCTGGCTGTTTGGATAGCAAAGCCAAAGTTATTGGAAGTGTACATTATGAAATGGTAAACGTTTTTAAATTAGATTTTGTATCAGTAGATTGTTTAATGAAATGTCTTTTCTGTTGGAATACTAGTTAAAATCATATTAAGAATGGATTTTGAAGAAATCAATATTCACCAAAAATAAAAGCCTACACCAAATGTTTAAGATAGCATCAGACGATCTAAGTTTGCATCTGCTGTTCTGCCTGTACTGTCTGAATGTACTTCATACTTCTTATACATGCACAGAAGTAGAATTTTTGTGTCCACATATTTGGGTGTAAATAAATTTGGCTGAAAAAAAGTGAAGGTGCGACTTAAGGAGAAATACAGCAATTTGTGGGTATATTCATATAAATTGTTTCAGTAAGGCAGGCCTACTTGTGTAAACTTAATGTTAGCTGAAAATATATATTTTACTCTGTAGAACTGAAAAACAGTATAGGAAATAACAGCTACTGTGAACAAGTACACTGTAAGTAAGTATAGTTTATCTCTGAGTAAGGCAAAGCGGTGTTTTCTTCATTTGAAATAATACCTACATAGACCACATCAAACTTAATAGACTATCTATGAAGTTTTTAATGACACATTCTAATTAAAACCTGATTTTTTCACAAATAAATTACAAAGTGAAATAGTGGCTTTGTCTGACATGGAACTGATTTTCCTTCTCTGTTTTTCAGCAATCCAGTATTTGTAAAGCTGCCATACATTATGGCATCCTAGACAATGAAGGTGGTTGGGTTGATGTCACTAGGCAAGGAAGGAAAAATTACTTTATCAAGTCTTACAGAAATGGCATTCAGTCAATTGGGTAAGCTTTCTTAAAATTAAAATGTATAGGAAGTTTTTCACCTGTTTCTTTTTATTTCATACAAAATGTATCATAGTAATAACATTTTGTTCATACTTTTTATCATAAAGAATATGAAAATGCTATAAAAAGGCATGTGGATATCCAGGTATTGTACCCATTCTGAAACTTGAGACATTGTCTAATGATACACAGAAAAGTGATGCAACAATGATGCGAAAGAAGGTGAAATAATTTACAAAATCATTTGGGCAGTAAGTTAGTATTTGTAGTTAAATAATCTCAATATTTGGAGTATTCAGTTAATTCATTTGTAAGTGTATGTATTTATTGTAGAAAACTAATACATATGGGCACTGAACTAGATTGTTTTACATGTTTTGGACAAACCTGGTAGTATTTCTAGGGTGGGCCAATGGACACAGTAATCTATGACAGCTAACAAGGCAATAATCTTTCAAGTTTGTGTTTGGAAGTGACCCTCTTGTACTGTGCACATGAACAATATGAACCAAGTAGAAATTACACCTCTTCCTATATGTTTGATAGCTTCATCACAATTCCACAATTTACATATGATATTTTGTGCCAATATTTTGCACAATTTCTGCATTGGTCAGTGATGGAATAATAGTGTATACTGTGGAAGCGTCATATGGAGGTGTACCACACTGTTCAGGTGCTTGCCCCAAGACTGGTATGTGAAAACAGGTCCAAGTACTTGTTGACATGCTAAAAGAAAACCCAGAAAAGCAGTGCATAAAAGTGGAGAATACTTGGCTGTTTCCATATTTAATCATCCAATGATAGGACAACATCGATATTAGTATGTTTGAATCTGAGATATTATTAGTATTTGCAAATTACACTTCACTATATCTTAATGTATTCTCCAGAGATGTACATTGCTGTCCTTATTTCTGTCTATAGCTGGTATATGTGTAATAGTAGTATGTGTGTAACAGTTAATGTATGAGTAATATCGAACTGAAAGAAAACAGAATTTTGCTGAGAATATTTGGCTCAGGTGTGAACCTGAGGGTAAGGAGACAGGTAATTGTTAGAGGCTGTGCTCTCACTCTGCTGTGCAAACAAATGCCACATGCTATGACACCTTTCATAATTTCTGTTTTCAACAGATTTAGCTAATCCAGGATAGAGAGAAACACTGACCAGGTAGACTAAATTCAGTGGCCTATAATTTGGGCTACCTGGGTAGCACTTAAGGCATTGATATCAATCTGTTTCTTTGGGTCATCTGATGATCTGACTGTGGTTTAAGTTACCCCCCCAAAAAAAATGAAGATACAGACAAATATCTTTTTTTTAAATTATTTGAGACAGAGAGAGAAGTAAATCTTGATTATATCGATACTAACATACTAGAAGCCAGCTTTTTTATAAATGTAGGAGTAGTTAAACTATAGAAAATCTTCAAACTAGAAGGAATTGATTTCCCATCACTTGAAATCTCTGTGTTTCTATGCCATCTGAGACAAAACTGTACCAGTGTCCAGTCTACAGATTGTGTTTAGCACCTATTGTCTGAGAATCGGAACTCAAAGCGAGGTATTAGCACTTAGTTTTGTTTGCTGTGGGCATGGATAATCGTGTCATTGCTGAACAGTAATGGTCATTTGGATTTTGGTTTTGTGATTCAAATGTTGTAAAAAAAAATTAAATGCCTTATAGATAAAAGACTGGTAAAGGACCAAATCTATGCCTTCCTATCTACAAGTATATTTCAGGAAACTCCTGCTGCTATGTGTGCGCATAGATGACATAGTTCTTCATTAATGTCCTGTAGTATTTAGGACATCACCTTTTAGAGTGAATTTACAAAATACTGTGATGAGGCATCAGCTTTATAAGTCAGTCTATAAATCAAAGTCTTTGGGATAAATAAAGATGATTTACCAAAGTTTCCACCTTCAAAAGGCCCATCAATAAGGACGGGGATACCTTGCAGCTACCTGACTCTTGCCGGTGTCTCTAGATGGAGAGACCTTGCATAAACTATGTATCTATTCAATGAGTAGATGAAATGAATCGGATCTCACCTCTACTGCATATTGCAAAACAGAAAGGCAGAAAAGGGAATGTCAGTGCAACATACAGCAAATTTCCTTATCTTCAGCTCCTTTGATTTATAATCAAGATTGCCAATACAGGTGTTTTTTCAACTGTTGCATTTTCATAGTATAGAATACCATTTTTAACAATATCTCAGCCAGCTAATCAACAATAAAATACAGTGAACTATTCCCACATCAGTGTTTGACAACGCTAGGGCAAAAGAAGTATGAGCTAACTCCGTGAAAGCAAATTGGAATCCAATAAGCGAGCAAATGTGAAATTGGTGGGCCATACAACTAAATAAACCAGTGCAATAAAAATTGCAGTGCTATGGAGCACACAGGAGTAATTTGCTCCAAAGGAGCAAAAAGGATAGGGAATCCTTTCCTTGTTTTTTTTTTTTTTTAATATTTTTTTTTATTTTTTAATAATTTTTTTAATAATAAATGTTGTTGGTTTTTTTTTAATAATAAATAACTTTATGGGTGCCAAAAGCATCATCAGCTTCTTTGTTACAGATGAAAGATATTAGAATCAGAGGCATATCCAATGAGTTAAGAGGAGTAAAAGAGAAGTAAAATAGAAGATAAAAAGGAGTAAAATAGAAGTGTTTATCAGTTGTAATGTAATAACAGAATGTATGTACCTGATTTTATATAACAGCAGGAAACAGATACATCTGAGCACCGTATAATTACTCAGAAAAACAGACTTACATGTTATACTGGGTTTATAGTGATACTGATGATAATTTAACATAGACACAAGATCCAGAAGTGAAATTTACTGAATTTTTCAAAAAGGCTGCCAGGAGAAACTCTTTTCAGTGTTGGAGCTGTTTGTAGGAATGAACCTTTGGGGGAAAGCAAATGATCTCTTCTGGTAGATGGATGCTTCTAGGCAATTCTCAACCACAGGTTTTGGTTGCTACATTTTGATGGACAAATAGATTGCGTAATTTGTTCCTAGCACATGTATTCTCTTAGCAAGTTAAATTACTGAAAGAGTTTAACATGCATTCCTGGTTTTCAAACAGATTCACTAGGAGTACGAAGTAAATGTGTCATTGCATTAAATAGATGCACAACCGGGGAGAGGGGATGCAGTGAGAAAAAATTGATTGAGGACAATGTCTTGCGTTTTTTTCTCTAAATTCTCTAATAACAATTCTCCTAGATAGAAGAAATCATTGAGAGGTGTTATTTACTGACTATTTCTATTATTTCTTTTTCAGAAAATACCAGTCTGCTAACTCCTTCACTGTCTCTAAAGTAACAGGTTAGCATTTATTTCTTATAAACTCAGTACTACTACGAGTTACATTTTTTCTAAATAGCACACGTTTATTCGTTTCTGTTTTACTTTCTTCAGTTCAAGCTATCACCTGTGAAACAACAGTGGAACAATTGTGCCCATTCCAAAAACCAGCCTCACACTGCCCAAGGTAAAATTCTTTGAGTCTTATTAATTCAAAGTGCTGCCATATTTTCTGTCAGTTACTAATTACCTATAGTTGTCATTGATAAAGGTGACAACAGTAGCTGTACAAGTGAATCTATGGACCTTGGGCAAAATACATTTTATTTCAGTTTATTTGCTGGTGAAACAGATACAAGAAAAGGATGTGATACAGACATTTATCATTAGAAGTTATCAACTTGTTTGGGAATTTTGGAGGATAGAGTAAGCAAATATGTTTGCAAAAAAATTGAAATATGTATTGTTAAGATAAGGTGTGGTCTGCAGGTCAGTTAACAGCTTTAAATATATGTGCCATTTCTTTGAAGCCTACATTTAACTCTTTGAAAGGAGCCGTGTCACAATATTTTGAGGAAGGAAATCAGTAACAGTTCTTAAAACCATAGATGAGTCAAAGGTAAATACACTGTAGCATGATTTACCACAAGCTAAGCTGGAGATATCCACAGGATTACTTTCATAGCAATCCTACAGCCAATACAGGAAGCAAGTACAAAGCCAGAACTGCTAGGAAAACATCCCTTGATGTAGCACTTGGGTCCGTGGACTTGTTTGGTGTTTGGCTATGACTCCTGGCTTTCTAGCTGGAAGATGTGGAGAAGTAAGCGAAGGAGCGGAATGCAGGAATGGATGGGTACAGTCTCATACTTCTATCTTTTTCTTTTTTTCTTCATTATTAAAAACTAAAACTAGCTTCATTAAGAGAAAAATAGGGTCTGTCTTTAAGAAAATTTAAAAATAAAAGTAAGGTTGAAAATGACTGATTAATTTTGATGCATCAACTTAAGGAACTTCACAACAGCAGTGATTCATTCAAGATTCTGTGCATGCTCTTAACTTAATTCTGAAAATGTAGTCTCAGGAGTTACAAGCAGTAATCAGCTACGGCATTGATTGCACAACCTCATTTTTCCCTCTCATGCCCTAATCATAAATCACCAGGTCTTCAAAAGGCCTCTTTGACATCTTGTTTCCTTCAGACAAAAATCTCTTTCCTAGCTGCATCAGCCTGTTTTAATTACCCATCTAGTAAGACTGTAGCATGCCCAAGTGGTGTGACATGCCGAACATCGATTAGAGCATGGATGGCATCCCGGAGAATAATGCTTGCCCAGGGCTGCCCTGTGTAGGATGGCTCCAAAGTCAATAGGGGCATGACCCATTTTTTAAATGAAACAGCTCAGAGTAGACCTGGAGCTGATAGGCACTTCTTCCTTGTAGCATATCACGATTACCAGACAAGATGCTTCCCACATGGTTTTCCTGTGCATTTTGGAGCTATAGCAGGCACAGATAGAGTTTTTCTCAAAGGTTAACAAAATGCAGTTGAATAAAGACAGTCTTTGTTTCAGTGGATTTCTAATTTCCTAGAATCAGCTGGGAATCTCATTACCTTCCAAAGTTTTTCTTTTTAGCCCCAGATGCCAAGTGCTCACCCTCAGTATAAGTTGCTAAATTGGCTTACATCACCAGGTCATCAGCATCATAGCAGGTCCTCATTCAGATATGCTTGTCCTGTGAAGGTATTAAACTGTACAGTTTGTATAGGATGCTGTAGAAACTAATAATAGTATGAGTGAACAGTCTCTTCTCTCATTGGCTTTTCTACTGGCCTCACATACGTTGAACAAGAACACCATCTGCTTATCCAAAGGGAAGACCAGACCTGTTGAAGTATGTTTTCAAGCACTTTATTATGAACCACAAGTTAAATCAGCAATGCTTTCACCTGTATTGTCAAAGCCTCAAAAACCAACAGCCTTTTCATATCACTATGGACCCATATGTGTGCATCATCAAATTGATTTATACTCAATAATGCTGATGTTGAATATGATATAGTAATACTCTGATATCGTTCTTCCTAACTGTGTGTGGTTTATTTTTGATATTTCAGGGTGTATTGTCCTCGCAACTGTATGCAGGCAAATCCACACTACGCTCGTGTAATTGGAACACAAATTTATTCTGATGTAAGTATAGTGATTTACATTGCATTATATAATGAAATATAAAATCCTATGAAAAGCTATAAAGTATTGATAATAAGATATAATATAGATGTCCAGTTTTTCTCCATATGCTGATTTTTTAGTCTTTTCAGAAGGTCTTTTTCAGGGGCTCCCATTTAAGTTAGTAGTACTCAGCTGCTGAAGATGTGGAAAGATTTTTGAAAACTCAGTGTAGACTTCAGTAGTGTCTGGACCCATATTTTCAATTTTTTATCAAAATTCCCACTGATTTGTTCAGTATTGGCAGTGCATACTCATTTAAAACTCTTTAGACCCTGATGCAGCCATAACTTCTGTCAGATTAAACTAGCCAAAAAAAATTATTCTGAAAATAAATGCCCACAGTCTCATTATTTTGGATATTTCTTCTCTGTGCAGATAGCTACATCCTTTCAGTAGGATTTTGATATATATGTGTGTGAAGTATCTCACATTGTCATATTATTTTAACAGACTAATACTGTATTTTTTTTGTCATTCTGTTTCCTAGTCAGCTTTTTCTTTCTGTCTTTTCTACGTCATGTTTGGTTCTGAAGTGGGTAGAAATAATGAAAAGAAAGTTCTTTTTTATGCCTCTCCTTTGTCATCTCTCTATGGAGAAGCCAGGATGTAGTGGCAGAGATAGCAGTTCACATTTTTGCCAGTAAACTGTATGTTTTAACCGTCTTTTAGCTGTCATAAGGAATAGTATGGCAACCAGCTGGATCAGGTGATGATTTTCACTACTTTCCAGCACTTTGAAATGTGTGAAAATAATATGCAAATATTTATTCATCATTATTTTGAAACTAACTAATGTCCATTAGATTACCTGAGTAACTTGTCCTGAAAACACCCTTGTCCATGAGTAGTGATACATGTATGAGAAGTACTTCCACTTCAGGAAGTAAATTGATTTGTGCATGTGGAACTGGGTCCTTAATGTGTATAAGAGGGGCAGTGAAAATAGATTCAGTAGAAGTCCATTTTGTGGAAGATATAATTTTCTTTCAGTCCTGTGGTTGCAATCAAAGGTTAAAGCTGAAGTTTCCCAGCGAGTTAGAAATGATTTTGTTGTAGGAGAAAGAAGACCCATTTCTGTTTAACTTACACAGGAGAACATCTCAGAATATGTATTTGCTTTGGTTGGAGTAGTCTCAGGTGATTTCAATTAGTATTATAGAGTTATGCTTTAAAATTATTTTAGATGTACTATCTCATTATTCATCTCCATTGTATAGAAATGTGTGCAGCCATACTGCTTTTAGGAAAAAATGGACGTAAATACAGGTAAGCAACCAAGGATGGGAGTCATCTTATCAACTTCAGATGCTGTCAGGGTAGATATCTACACTGAAGATGCTATTCTAGGTTATGTTTATAGTAGTTTGTAGTACGTACAGTATAGTAGTAAAGGAGATAAGTAGGCATCTGTAGAACAGAATTCATTTGACCTTCTCAGAGCGTCTACCTCAGTATGAGATGAATTGCCTAACAGAGAGGTCTATTCCTCTCCATTTCCTACAGAAGGGGTCCTAGGGCACCTACCTCAGCTATAGACAGTGTCTTGCCTGTATTTGTATAGATGTTCCCATCAATGGTATCACCATTATGCAATTTTCTATAATGTTCCTGTGTTGCCAACATTTAAATTATTTTAAAGCTAAGATACTTTTTTGTTGAAATTTTCACTAAATAATATGATTGGGTATTTTGTGCTTTATAATTTATTACTGAACTAGTTTCAGGTGAAGTGTTTATAGAGAATAATCTATTTCATAAATGTATCCTCTTTTTCAGTTTTTCATGTATTCACAGAAAGATCTGTTCGTAGATACAGAGAATTGAACATTTGCAGTCAGTAAATGAAGATGTTGCAGAGATATTAAGACAAAAAGCAAATAACATTAATAGATGTCACTAATGCAAAAAGATATTTTTACAAGACCATTTTTGTAGTATTCATGAAAATCTAGTTAAACTTTTCCTTTTCTGGCTTTGGTCTGATCGGACATTCATTCTTAAATTCATTTAATATTTTACGGTGACTTCTTTTCCTCCCTGTTCCTGAGAAGGGTTATTCTCTGGTTTATCAGTAGTGCCCCACAGAATTTCTACCCTTTTTTTTCCTCTAGTTCTTTTTTTACTTTGACATTGCAATGACTGTCCCTAACTCAACTGAAACAAAAACTCAATTGAAACAAAACCCTCCATTATTTCATCCTCCATTCTTCCATTCTGCTAGCTATTGACTCTTGGTGTGTGACCATGGTTCATATAGCCAGCATCTATAAACTTGTGTGTGTGTGGAGTTTTCATGTAATATCCATCCCATGGGCTCTATACCTTCTATTTCTTTTAGTTGATCTCCCTTTGTTTCACTTGTCTTGAGGTAGGTTGCAAGATCTTTAAAACAAAAGTATCTCTAATTCTGAGTTTATGATACAATTAGTTTCCTTCTGAATAGAGCTATTATGATATGAATAAAAACTGTAGTATGTGTTGTTCTCAGCAGACAGAAGTACAAATTACTCATTCTGCATGTGGCCCAAACACATTGCCACCTTTGTGCTTTGTGTCTCTGCTGGCCCCACTGCTAAGACTTTCCACATGGCAATGCTTTCTCTTGTTGGGAGGCGAGCAAAAAAGAAAGTTTCCTCCGATCTTGTGCTGAAGAGTTGGTTCCACCTTTCAACTTGGTTAATCCATTTTGTCTAAAACTTTTTGAGTCTTATTTCTGGAATTTCAAAATCATGTCATGTTGACAAGCATTTTAACAATATCTGCATTTTTAAAGCACTTTTCAATATAACCTCATTTGTGAAATAAAATAAAAACCTTCCCAAGAACTGAATCATGTCAGGCCCGATGTGGTTGTCTGAACTCTGCTGGAGATGATCTTGTAGTACCTGCCTGTACAGAGATTGTCCTCTGTTTTTGCTGTTAGTCCGTGGATTATCGAGGTACCAAAATAATAAACATGTCATAGAGAGAAGGAGAGGCTGCAATAGTTGAGTTGAAAATTCTTTCCCTTGCAGATTTTTTTGGTAAAATTTTATTTTAATGGACACACCTTAGATGTGTAGATGGTAGAAGTTCTTAACTACATTCCGGTTGCCTTATAAGAATTTCTAAAGAAATTAAGGTTTATATTTATCCTGTTGTTTTCACAGTAGGCAACATTTTCCCAAAGACAATCTCTTACCAGTAGTGACTCTACATTATGGGTGTTGACTGAGCAATTCTACAAAAAAATTGAGCCTCCTTTTGGGGGCTAGAGATCAACAAAGGTCTTTTATCTAAAGAATTTGAAGGAGTTGTATAATTTCATACCATCTGAGGACTTTGGCCATATTAATTTTTGTTTCAGTAACCATATATGGAAATATTTCCCTAATACTTGTGCAGAAGTATTCATAACTCTCTACTTGTGGTGAAATATAAGCAATATGATGTAAAAAAGCTATTAAATAGTTGTATAGTCCTGTGTTGGTGAGGGAGAGACGCTTGTGGTTAAAATGCCTTTGCAGAGTACTGCTGTGCTGTGGTAGATACTTGGTATTTTGCTGAGTAGCTGAAGAAGGAAAATAATTAAGCAGCTTGGTATTCAGGTTCTATGACCTGTTAAATACTAACGAACTTCAGAGGGTTCACAGCACAGCAATAAAGTGGGGTCATATAATGCTGTATAAAATGTTTATGTTAACTTAAAAATACTGCCTTATATATCCTTTGGAGTGAGTTCATCAAAATTAAAGAAACAACCCCAAATCTCTGATGAAGACGTCCAGAGAGTGGCATAAGGCTGCTAATATAAAATACCAATAATATGCTGAAATTTGTGATAGAGCTAAGTGTGAAATCCTGCTCTGCTTAAATTAACAGGAGGTTCACCTTAACAGTTCAAGGAATTTGTGATCAGGATGACATAATATTATTAAGTATAGGAAATATTATGGCATCGGTACTGGAATCTGATTCCATTTAGATGAAGATTGCTCAAGCCAGTGAGAAGTTCTTGAAAGCTGAAAGCAGATAGTACTTTCTCAAAAAAATTATATTCTGTATATATTGATAAAACTATATGCATTTATTCATCTGTATTCTTACGAGCTAATTCATAATTATGAATTTGTACTTATTTAATTGTTCATATACTCAAAAAGTATGCACATTTGTTCTCCAGTCTCATGTGGAAAGCAGAATCAGAATAGCAGTTTATTTTTCATCTGAAAACAGCCTCTGAGTTGGCCTCATCAACCCCGTTCTTCTGACCTCTGCTTTTTCACATGTTGCATATAAGCGCCTTGCCTTTAGCTTTAAAATCTTGTGCATTAGCTTAGCCGTTCTTCATTGATCCGGTAACCAGTTGTGGTACCAACCCTAACAACGACGCCATCCTTTACTGGAAATAGTTTCCAACAAGTAGTCAGCCTCTTCTGTCAAAATCTCCATCCCTTGACTTCTCCTTTCTTTTTTACTTGACTGGAAACTTCCAGGTAACGTTGGAATAGCCAGGTATCTATCTATCTAATGATGTACACAAAGTGTAGCCTTTTGGTTACTATTACAGAGGTGACCAACTTTAATCTTTCTTTTCCCTAATTGTACTTCTAGGTTTTTTTATATCTCCAATGTGAACTGAAAACAAAGTTGCTACTATATTACAGTACTAGTAATTAATAGTGTTCTAGTTCTTCACTGCAGTTAATTGCTTGTAAATCTCATCTTTTGTTTCTTTAGACTGTAATCCTGTATTGCAGAGGCCATTTTTTTCCCCTGTATATTTGAAATTGCAAATGATCAATCTGATCTTAAGTTACTCCCATAGTATGAATACATAAAGGACACTATAATCCTAAAAATAAGGCAACCGCTGGTTTTCAGGATATAACAAAAGTCTTGTAGCCCTGGGAGGAGGAGAAAAAAGTACAGAGAAGCATAAATGGCATCCCTTCTGGCATTTTCAAAAACTGCAACCAGCAGGGTGAAGAGAAAAACTCTAAAGTGACTTTGCAAAAGATTCTTTGCATAAACAGTTTCAAATCTTTGCTCCTAGAAATGCTGTAACATTAAAAGACAAACTATATAACAGTGAAACTGGCAAGTTCTATGCTTGGAATGAGAGTAGGAAAATCATTGCTATTTTAAATTCCTGATTTTATATAGCATTGAGATTACAAAATAGCTACGGTAACAGATAGAAATTATTCCAATTATAATTGGAAGAAATGCAGTTCTTGTTTAAATAGTGGTCTGTGTGACCAGCTATTGATATTTATATTGGCTAAGTTTTTAAGGTTGGTTGAGGAGAGACCTATTGCAGTGAAGACTTTTTCCACAAAACAACTTGGCTTCAAGTGGAGATTCACTGGAGCTGGAGCTACACTTTGCTATGCTGTGTATTGAAGATTGGGACCTACATTCTGCATGTCTAAGAAGTTTCATTCTTCTGGCAATTAATTTTTAAAATGCTGAAAGAGTTGTAGAGAACAGCAAGTTTAAATCAATTATTTAAATGAACATTATCAAGATTGTCACTGATCAGTCCTTCTGTGGATATTATTTAGGTTTGTGAGAGGAACTAATAGCCAGAGAATCTAGGTTTCACCCAGATGAAACTGCTGTTAACTTCACAGAGAATTTTGCCTACATAAAGTTTGTGGAATTAGACCCTGATTTAAAAATTATTCTTTTCAAGCAATTTTGAAGTCTTTACCTCCTGACTGTTGCCTCACTCACAGTTAAGGAGCCAAAGCCATTAGTCTGCCATTAACCCACTGTCATAGCTAAGGGATGATTTTAGATCTCTGCCTTCTGTTTGATGCTCAGATTATACCTTTAATCTAATTAGCTTTTAATATTTTCCCATGCCTGGATAGGAAACTGTGGTGTTCCCTTTGAATATTGAACTGCTGTTTGAGGTTTTGCACCTAGAGATGGAATTACTGCGGTCTATCCTTCACCTTTGGGGTATGACATCCTCCTAGAAACATATGACTGCAGTGTGCCTTTGCTGTTCTACGGTTCCCCTGTTTGGCTCTGGCTGGAGATTAAACTGAATCTCCTGATCTATAATAATTAATGGGACTAAGGCTTGAGTTTCACTACCTCTCTGCTGTTGAAGTGAAGGCTGATAGAGCCCCAACATTTTGAAAGGCTCAAGAATTCAAACATGTTCCTGGTCCTTGAACTGAAATAGCCTGAATTAAATGATTTTGGGGTCATGCTGCAGGAGATTTTTGAAGAGGCAGTATCTGTACTGCTATAAATTGGCCTAATTCCTATGAAACTGAATTAAATACTGTAAGATTAATAAAATTAGTCATACAATAAATATAATTATTTTATGTTTCCTAGAACTTGGTTTAAATGTCTTTATTAGTTTTCTTCTAAACAATTTTGAAATAAAAGGATGAATGAAAACTAATCTTCTCCTCATTCTTTCTTAGATATCCAGTATCTGCCGGGCAGCAGTACATGCTGGTGTAGTCCGCGACCAGGGCGGTTATGTTGATGTTATGCCAGTAGACAAAAGAAAGGTGTACGTTGCTTCCTTTCAAAATGGGATATATTCAGAAAGGTACAGAGCCCAGTTTCAAAAATTACACTTTACCCTTCACCTCGTTAAGATTTACAAAGTCTTGCATTGTGTCTGTTTGTACCTGAGGCAGTGCTAGAAACCAAACGAATAGGCCAACATGGGTGATTTACAGAGCTTGTGTAACAGCTGTGCTGACTTTGGAGAAGCTGTGGTACCAGAGCTGCCTGCCTCCTCTAAGCTCATAAATCATTACTCTAAAAAGCTGCTTATGAAATAAAATAACCCTCTTGTTTACTTTGCTGGTTCTGTTGCAACTAACACAATATTTGATAAGAAAATTGCCTTTGCTTTCTTCAGGATTTTTTCAAAATTAACATTAATGATTTATTCTGTCCAAGTTAGAGGATCTGCAGTAGACAGTACTAGTAGCTGATGCAAGTTCATTGGTTCATGATGAAAATCAGTAAATCATTACTGATTTACATGGTATTGAACCAGTGAGCCTGGATCATAAATAATATTCACAAACATTAACATTCACAATCATTAAAACATATTTTTTAATTTCTTTTTTTTTAATGGTTTGACTGTTTTTAACAGTGTTTTTCTGAAAGACATGGAGAAAGTTCATTTAGTTGTATTCAGTGTATTTGTACGTTATCATGATGATAACATATGGCTGCATGTTGCAGATTAAATTTAATCCCGGAAAGAGTTCACCAGGTTCTAAAGGAAGAAAGAGAAATTACCTTAAAAAAACTTGTATCACTCTTTTAGTCCTGTAGAGCTAAGAATGATTGTTACCTCTAAAACTATAGGCTTTGCAAGAAATTTGTGTGGGGAAAAAACCTCCAAAAGTTTCTGTAGAGAACTGGGAAGTAGGAAAAAATAAGAGGTTTTTTGTTTTGTTTTGTTTTGTTTTTTAATGGGGTATAGGGGGATGTCTTGCCTCTTTCC